GACACCGGGAGCAAAGCCGGGGGGGGGGAGGCTTTGCTCCCGGTGTCCCTGGTCTGCTGGAGATGGTCCACAGCAGACCAGGGGCACCCAGAGCAGCTTTTCTCGCCCCGGAGGTCAAGGTGGTGGGACCGCTGCGCTCTGGGCGGTCCTGCTGCCTGCGAGCTCTGGGGTGAGAAAGCCCCGTTCGTAAGTGCGGCTCCGACATAAGTCGGAGCCACGTAACTCGGGGACTGCCTGTATAATGCTGATTGTAGGGTAAAGCCACAACCATTAAATGGCTTCTTTTAGAACAGAAGCAGCTGACAATACAATATTATCCAAAAGTCTCCTAGTGACACAAACGTCAATATTGTGTCACAGAGAAGGCCTTGGTCAAAGGACTTTTCTTAACAGTTGCTCTTTTGTGACTATCACAGACAAAGTTAGGCATTAACCTGTGTTAGCATTAATATTTAAGAGTTCCACCCTCTATTTTGTCCCCTATTACGTTATGTACTTTTGAATGATGGGCCTGCGCTTGTCCCATTCCGCTGCTACGGTGCTCACAGACCAGAGGCAGGTGCTTTAGGAGAAGACGATCCATGGCACACCAGGCGTTTCAATAATCAGTGGACTGTGCCCCATCTCCGCTGCTGAGGAGGCGCCCCGTCCGACTGCCCTCAACTGCTAGGGACACCCATGTCCTCCCGCCCGCGCTCGCCCCCGCGGGACCCTGCCCCTCCCGCACTTACCGCCCCTCAGCACGAATAGGTCCGTCTGCTTATCCGAGTTGAAATCCCCGAAAGCCGCCAGGGTCCCGAAGGCCTCAGCCCCGAAGAGCTGGGCGGTGACGTTCTGCAGCCCCCAGCCAGCCCTCAGCAGCCCCAGGAGCAAGCAGAGCCCGAACAGGTAGCAGCGCCCCATCCTCCCACCCACTGCCAGCCGGCTGCAGCCGCCGACAGCATCACTTACGGCCATGAGGGAGGGGCCGTCACAATCCTCCCCTTCATTTCCGGGACTGACCAGACTTCTTTACGACAGTGTCGCGACCCTCCCGTCTAGATAGCAGAGAGAGGGCAGTTGGTTATCTACTCGGCTGCTCGCGCTGCAGCAGGCGCGCGCGGGGCCGAGCCGGGGAGAGGGAGTAGCGTAGCGTAGCCCTGGATCTTCCGCGCGATGGCGTCGCACCTGGCAGACGTGAGCTGGAGGATGTTGGAGCTGCGAGCCCGCTCCAAGCGCTCAGGTCTGACCCTTTCGCCTGGATGGGGAGGGGGCTGCGGGGTCTGTTTGCTTGCGCCCAGGCTGAGAGAACGCGGCTCGCCTTGTCCTCGCCTTCACCTCGCAGCTGTTCCTCTAAACGGGCCCCGCTCTCTCCCCCTCGCCTCAGCTGTGGCTGTCACTATCCCCGCCTGGCCTGGGCCTCCGCTAGCTTCGCAGGTCACTCGGAGTAGCTCGGTGGAGATCAAGTCACAAGCGCTGCTGCTGCTGCTGCTCTGCATGGTTGTCTCCTCACCTTACGCCTGACAAAGTCTGAGAGAAAGTTTGAGGCTTGTTCAGGGCTATGGGTACTCGCATTCTCTAGCCCTCTGCCCTTGCTTTCATGATAGCTGACCGAAATGTAGGACCCCGTTCTCTGTCGATCAAATTTAGATCCCTTTTTAAAGCGCGAGTCTTAACTTGTTTGTTTCTTTTTCTATCTTCACACCTTACATAATAAAACTCAAATTTGTAGCGGATCTCATTTGTTGGGGAAAACATTTCTTGGGTTAAAATTAAGGTGATTTCAAGGGTCTGATACTCTGCTGATGCATAACTTGTTTGAGACATTTTAAAATCATGATTTTTAAAATGACATTAAGGAGGCATTTACATTTCAAGGAAGCTCAGTTCAGCACGTGTTGTAGATGAAACTTCAGCTTCAGGCATCATTGTGTTTGACAAGCCATTGAACAGTAATGAATTCTGACATCTCCAATATGTTCTTACATCAAAGTCATGCGTTTTTGTCTAATTTTGGTGAGAACCACAGATTAGACTAGCATCTCATTCCCCTATAACGAAAAATCTTTGGTTTACTTAATTTATTGCCATTAACACAAAATAGTTTGTATTTATTTGTTACAATCTAAAAATTGCTCCGCATAAACTAATGCTCCATGTAACCCAAAAAGTTAGGTTATGTAAAAGTTTGTCTGTAGCTATGTATTTATAGACATCATTAAGATAGTTACTAAAGATCTCACCTTTTAGTGCTGCCCTTGCTGTACTATTTAATTAAACTTACACAATATGCAACACAATTTTTAACGTAGCATAACTCTACAATGTTTCCATCTAAAAGAAAAATGCATAATTTAGCATATATTTGATTACAAAATAAATAAAACTACTTGTGTTTATTTAAAAGGCGATTAAAATTGTTTACACAAATTACATATTTAAATGGAATATTCAGTGTACAACTTTAGTTTATAGTCATAAGTGTGAGACTCAAGTCTTAGAGTATCCCTGCCAAGAAAATGAAATTAAAATTCCCATTCTTGTACATTCTTCAATTATATGTTAAAAGTTTGAAAGTGAATTTTTGCCAACAAAAAGTTAAGTACTGAATTAAATAATTGATTACAGTTGTGTTGGTAGGACTGTACTGCAAGAACTAGGCTATACTTGTAATCTGATCTGTACAGAACCTCCCTGACTCCAGCAGGATTCTATATGTGTAAAAAGAACTGTCGGCACAGATTCATCTTCAGGATCAGGGCCTAGTTTTCAACATCAGTTATATGAAAACTATAGCCTGCTTTTGCATGATTCCGCACCAAATAGAGGAGACATCAATTCAAAGAATTACTATTCTTAGCATTATAATCATGATATAGTACTGCAGAAGGAAACCAGCTTGTAAATTACTTGTAGCCTAAAGAGCAGAGGGTTGCAATAGCTGGTTAACTGTGTATTGCTTGATTTGTTTTAGCACAAATATTTAATAGTTGCTATTAATGGAGGAAAAAATGCTTTTATTTTGGATCAAGGCATGGGCGGTGGATAACACAGGCCAGGGAAGCTGAGCTTTCCCAAAAATTCCTCTGTGGCCCTCCCCAGGCTTTTCCAGTAGACCCCCCCCTTCTTCTTGCCCGTGACCTGTATCTCTTGCCCTGTAGTCAGGCCCTAGGCTCAGGAGAACTGGCCTATGGTCCATAACTCTAGGCAGCTGGCACTAGTGCTTGTGCCACTCAGGACCCCAGTAGTCAGAGTAAGGGCCTGGGCCTGGCAGCTGCAGGGGGGCTCTGGACTTGGATGGATGAAAGAGGGAAGGTGGAACCTTTGTCAGAAGGGGCAGGTGGGGCTGACCTACCCAAGCCAATAGCTGAGTACATTTATGAATTAAGGATTTATTTAATCCTGGAGCAGAAAATGCTGTGGGTTTAATTCTGCACATAATGATGTCAGTGTCAAAACTCTCATTGACTTCAGTTGTGCAAGATTAGGTCATAGAAAAGATAAATATTCAAAATACTGTTACATAATAGGGATGTTAAATGTTGTGCATCAATTTTTAGTTCCACAGTTACTAAAATACTACCTGGGGGGTGGAGCCAGCAGCCAGTACATTCCTGGACCCAGTTCTGGGGAGCCCCCTGCTACCCTGCACTGTTGTCTCTGAGCACGGGTGGGAACATTCCCTGTCAGTGGGGGGCCCAAGTTCCCCATGGACATACTGCTTCTCCCCGGGCTGCCTCTGTGGGAGGCAGCAATGGGGAGGGGAAAGCAGCTCTGTGGAGCCAGAACACAGGGAGAGCCAATTTAAATGCCAATTCCCTACATGTACTGGCTCCCACCTGCTCATCTTCTTCACTGTTGCTTCTGATTGAGAGGCAGCAATGTGGTAGGGGTGCAGGTGAGTCCAGGAGAGCTGGCTCCCACCTCTTCCCTCTTGTTGCCTTTGATACAGAAGCAGCAAGTTGGGGCAAGAGAGGTTGCATGTAGTTGTTTGGGTTAATCTATAAGCCTAGGCTTATCAGTTAATCATTTAAATGACTATAAACTGACATCCCTATTATCTGGTAACTAGAAATTTTACTGCAAAATAAAATATAATTACTTTACTGTAATATTCAGTATGGATAGATTATGGGTCCTGTTTCTTTGTTAGATGTTTATTAAAATTAAGGCTCAAGAACGTCAAATTTTAGGGTATAAAAGGGAAAACATAAATAATAATTAACCTTAATTATCCCCATGATTGTCCAGAGCATCATGTTAATAACTCTACTAACAATGTTTTCACTTAATTTAATGCTAATTGCTTCTAACCCTCACTGGACAGTTTTGAAAATTGCTGTAGTTTAGCCTGAGACGTTTCTGATTAGCTTCATCAGTTGAAATGGCCCATTCGGACGCTGACAGAGCCTGCTCTGCATATACTTTCTCAAGACTTGGTAAGTGCGTGATCTTTCATTTTTTATGTTTTTGTGTCTTCTCTTTTGAAATTGTGATTGCTTGTTGCTGCTTTTTTGCAATCGTAGCGTGTTTCTTTGGTACTTGCATTTCTTTTATTTATAATTTTTAACACAAAATTTAGGCCAAAACCTTGAGCTTTTTGTGGAGAAAGCATTCCAATTCTGGAATCTCTAATTTTCAGAAACAAAAAAATCTAATAGGGATTTTTTTTCTGTGCATTTGTGTTGTGTATTATGTATCACTTATTTCATGGTGACAGTCTTGGTTATTAATTTTTTAATGGCAGTTAAGTCAATGGTGCTATTAGAACATTGTTTAGCTTCCTTCTTTGGTGTTAACAAATAGCTTGTTTTTTTTCCTTGAACATATCTCATGTAGCTCTGTTAAGGTTTGTCTATACTTTTGACAGTAATTTTGACAGTAAATTTGGATTTTGATACAATGTGTATTTAGAGCACAATATCTATTTACAAACAAGTCTATTTGTGGATATTCTTATTCCAGAAAAAAAGTGTCTTTTCCAGTTTAGCTTAGTCTACTAGATATTATACTGCTAGCATATATTTTCAGTGGTGACTGTCAGGTTTCAACTGAAAGGCTTTCAGCTGTCCACTGTAAGGCTCGCAAAAGAAGAACCACTTAAGCTTCTGTTGTACAGGTTGGACCTCCTTGGTCCAGCACCCTCCAGACCTGACTGGTCCCGGATAAGGGATTTTGTCAGACCAGGGAAGATAATTTCTTGCCCTTGCCTAGCCATGGCCTCGCTACCAGCTTCCCACCGGCTTTCCCCTGCTGCCAGACCCTCTGCACGCTGGGCCCCTGGCTCCATCATGGCAGTCCCGCCTCCAGCACACACAGCCGCAGTGCTGCGCTCCCGGCTTGGCAGGGCAGTCCCCTCCTGGGGCCCCACTTGGGCTTTAACCTCGGTTGGCTGCCCTGCTGCCTCCCAGCCTCACTGGGCAGCTCCGCAGGCAGCAGCAGGGCTGCTGGGCTTTTTGCTATGCTGTTGGGCAAAAGCCCCACTCTTGGGTTCCTGGCCCCACCACCAGGCAGCGCCATGGTCAGGCTCCCAGCTCCACAGGACAACTGCTCTGTCTCCTATTCCCTCCAGGCAGCTGCACTGCTTGGCGGTAGCAGGGCTACTGGGTTCCCAGTTGTGCTGCCAGGTGGCCCGCTGCTTCCCACTCTCACTGGGCTGTTTTCCTTCTGCACCCCCTACTCCCTGCAGTGTTGGCACCAGGTGGTAGTCCTACTGCTGGGCTACCATTTCACTGCCATAGGACAACCCTGCTACTACTGAGCTCTAGCCCCTCTGTAGGGCTCCCAGTGACCAGCCCTCCACCAGGACTCTCTGGTCCTTGGACATCTGTGGACCTACTGGATCACAGAGTCCTAGTTAAGAGAGATTTTCCTATTCCTTTGTATGTTAAAGTTACTGCTTGAGTTCTTCCCTGTGCCGAAAATCTCTCTTTCTACCTGCTTAATTTGTATAGTAGCTTAACATTTCATACTGGTAAC